TTTCATTGCCTCTGACGTATACTTTCATACTGAATATTTATTTGGAGTACGCATGGGCTGCACCAGTAAAACAGAGAACAGGATGTGATATGTAAGCAACAGTAAAATTTATACTCAGTTAAGAAAAAATACCCAAAAATGTACATACTGATAGAGGTAAATATTCTTAAAATAAATGTTTTTAAAATTTTATACAGAAGAAAAAAATCAATCTTAATTTAAATTATCGTATCTTTGAAGCATTAGTAAGAAAAATTCAATCGCACATTGAAAAATAAAAGTTCGAGTAAGACTCAGTTTAATGACAACTATAAACGGTTTGATTTACAGCCAGATTCAAGTTCAGTTTATAAGAATTGAAAACATGGCACAGCAGCTTTTAAACTAAAAGTTATTACATAAACCCATGACTCTTAGCATTTGGACCGCTATAATTTTTGAAGTGAGCATGAAAGAAGAAGTCCAGAGGTAGTAGTAAACGATAGAGGGCATAGAAGCAAAGTAAAAAGTACTTTTAAAAAACGATTATACATGAAATAGGCTTACTCTCAGATTCTTACATTCACTAAACCTTAAAAACAAATCCTACAACTCACCGTTTGAAAAGTTGTCAAGGTTCACCAGTGTTTGGATACTTTCAGATTTAAGAGCTTTTAAGATCCATGTATGCTGATATCTATTTTGTGGAGAAAGTTTCAAACAAACGCAGAAATCTTTTTTTACTCAAAACGGTGGGACATTTTTCAGTTACTATGAAATTTCTTTTAATAAATCTAATGTTTTGATAAAGAAAAAGTTTTGGTACATATAAAAAACAACAATAAAAAAGTCAAGGGATCCGTAAATAATACTCCCTCTTAAGTAAAGTATAAAGTATCTTATCTTCTATTCGTTCATACCTTAATTAACCTTATCTTTCTCTTTTTATTTTTATATAAGTATATTTATCTATACAAACACTCAAATTAAAAAAATTATCTTACCAATTTACATATTCAAAAATTTTATTGCCATAATAAAAGATAAAAAAAGCGCATATTTAAGCCATTCTCTAAGTTTATTAAGCAAGTCGTAATTTTTTTTAATGGCTTTGTAGATGCAGTCAGAAGCAAAGAACTGAATTTTGACAATAATGGTGATAATGACCATGCATTCAAAGCAGGTGGTACTCTGACTGAGCTCAATTATTATGTCTATCGTACTCTTCTGTAACTCTTATAACTTTCTTGTTAAAAGGTAAATGTTGTTGGTGATATGGTGTAAACCTGTAAAGTATATTTTCTAAAACAAACCAAAACTTGAACTATTATGAGCTATAGTTAAGAGTATACTGAGTAAAACTAGCTTTTCTGCTTGGGTTCGTTTGACGTTGGAATGACTTGCACAGGCTGGTATACCACCTCATGTAATGCTTTTTTCTGTATTTTGTTTGAAGAAGAAAGAAGAGCCTTGTATGCTTTCTGACTTGTCCAGCATGGGAATTAGCATCGCAGGCTAAGGTAACTCCTAGTATAGAGATATCTCTTTCCCAGAAGCATCAATACAATGCATTTTAATACGAAGACCGATGAGTTCAAGTATAATTTTATCACAAAACTTACCCTTTTTGAGTCCAATCAATTTTCTGTTTCTTTTAAAGAAATCAAAAACATTATCGTTTGCATAACGCGAGGTTGTAAGGAAAATTGATTCGGAACTTATCGGGTAGCGTATCGGATATGTGGTGATAATGTTACTTACTTTGACAGCTTTGGCGATCTTCAGCCACCTTCAAGTTTAATGTTGTGCAAGGTAGTTGTCAAGGTTAAGTATAACTATCAAAAATACGAAGACTTTACTTTTTTTAACTGTGGTCATTGGTGCTTTCAATTCGTCTTGAGAAGATTGTAAAAAATCATACAAGAGACGGTTATAAAAGAAATCATTTATCTTCTCTTTAGCAGTCATAAAAGAATCATTGGCACTTAGTCTGACTGGTATTATAAGCACAGTATTTTGCACCTATCGAATTATCCTTAAAACATAACTCCGTTCTTGGCTAAGTCAAGCTCCTTACATTCGATTTCAATCCTAATTTTAAAGAAGGTGACAATAAATTTTACGTTGTAATTCAAGTGGTCATTTTTCTGACAGGCAGGTACGAAATTAAAAATATTGAATTAATTTCAGTGGATGTATTACAGCTTAACTATATAACTATTCATATTAATCCCAACAACAAAACACTTTGTCGTGTTATTATCTGTAGTCATACGATTGATTAAAGAACGAAAGGGTTTCATTGAACGAGTTTTAAGAGATAACGTTACCCATAACCTAGACTTACCTGTGGCTATTCTTAGAATCAATGCATTAAAAGTTGAGTGTTATAAAACTACTGGGAATGATAAAAACAGAGAAAAAGTTTTCACAGCTCAAAATTTTTTTCAACCGTTTAAATAAAATACAAAATTATTAAAGTTTCTTCACAGATAACTTATTGACCGATTACAGCCCTATTAATCATATACAATTACGTACAGTTAACCAAGTCAGAAAATTAGTCAATTTTTGTAAAAAAGTCAAAACAATAAGGTTCCATGTAAGATCCTTCCAGTAATGGAGATCAGGTACAATCAACAAAATTACATAAGCATCTCGATATGCATTCCAACGCTTAGTCAACATCAAGCATTTAAACAGTTAACACTTTAACGGTGAAGATAGCTAAAGCAAAAGCTACCGTATTAAGCCATTCAATCTCTAAGGGGTCAAGGATTCAAATGAGAGGCCCTGGTAGAAACTATTTGGTATAATTTTATTTAACTGTAGTAGGCATGAAGGAGATTATAAGCATCTAGTTTCCTGTCACGTTTGACATACTTGTTGCGCACAATGAGATCCACGCTAATCAACCATACACATCTGCAACTGACTACAATAGTAGTGAAATCCGTTTATTCATTTAACATCAAGACCTTTGTCTGCTACTATCACGCCGTTTCCTTGACATTCATAAAAATATAGTGGAATCAGAGGGTAGTACGGCAACAACCACTACTTAGTTGGTGAATGACAATATGTAAAATCTATTTGAAAGAAATAAAAATGAGATGAGTGCTATAGAGATATATAAATGTAAGAATGTGGGTCTGACGACTCTCATGAACAATTGATTCACACTTAGTCCTTATTAGAATCTAATGATTCAAAGTTCTGGACGGTCATACTCACCATATCAAAAATCGATTTAAATGCAGTCATGCAATGATTGATAGTGACTAATGGTGATGCTAACGCGGTACGAGTGTAAAAAGTATTTAGGATAGAAACATTAAACCTCTAATAACATGTGCCCTATAAAGTCAATTTTGATTCTCATAAAACTTGACTGCTTCATTATTTACAAAAAGACATAATGATATCTATAAGTTTCCAAGCTTGCGAGCTCTTTGAATATCTTCTGCTGCCCACAACATCAAAACATATTGAAACAGTCTAAACGACTGATTAGAAGGAAAAATCGTGCTTTATTATTTAAATTTTTCAAATAAATTGCAAGAATAAAAAAGTTTGATTATTGATACATAAAAAATGTAAGACTCTTGATTGTAATAAAGCAAATAATTAGTTTGCACTGTCGTATAATATGAATAGTAATACTTAGAACTACGTTTTATTCTAAGGATCATTTCCCACTGTTAGCAAAGTCCGATTCCTATACCATGTATCTCATTGTCATTAATTGCTCTAAGCAAAATAAATCATTAAAAAATGCTCGAGTTAAAGAACGTTCAGAATTTAAATCTTACCATGGTTTTTCCTCCAACGCATTAGTCTATTGCTTAATTCTGCATGATTGCATTGTTTAATATAATCTTATGAGTCAAGTCACCAAGAATCTAGAGATAGATAGTGGTAGCAAGGATTTAATTATTGTGGCTTATGGCTAGCTCTTTTAAAGCCATACGACATTCAATCGTTTTAAAGAAAGTTCGTTGCAGCAGTAGAAGCTGAAGAAAGGAAGCAGAAAAGAACGAGCTTATAAGAAAAAAAAAAAAAAAATACAAAATTTTAGAAGGAACACTAATAATAAAGTCAGAAATTTTGTTATTTTTTAAAAAAAATTTTTTCGATAATCGAAAATCTGGTACTATCTTCCTTTTAAAAAACAGAATCTTAACAAATGAAGGACCTCGAGGACGTACAAAAACGTAGAGCTACTCCTTTTTTACTGCCCTTCTCTTTCTGTCAACAGGTATACTAAACAAGAGTAATAAAATAAATAACATGTTTGTAAAAAAAAGGTTTAATATTAATCGTAAATATAAACTTCCTATCCCCTGAACACACTGTTGAAAAATAAACTATAGAGTCATTTAGGAAATAAAACGTGATAAATATTTTTGGAGAAGAAAATTAATTTTTTTTTCTTAATTAAAGGCAAATACAGGATATATTTTGTAAGAAACTATAATTATAGAACCTACTTCGACAGAAGTTGCTATTCTTGAAAATAAAAAACAGTAAAAATCTCGATTTAATACAAATTTTTTTACAGAAACTGAAAGAATCAATGAGTTTATACAATTTTACCTACTTATAAGATTTAATTTGCTGGGATTAACATTTCCTAAACCATATTCATTTTAAATAAGCTCCCAGCCCAGAAAATAGGCATTAAATGGTTAAAACGAAAACTGCTTGAAGTCTGATAGCAAAATGACTCAGGTACATATAATGCAGAAGACTGTTTAGGGTTAACTTGTGTCAAGATAAGGTTTCTTTGGTGCTCTGTTTACTTTCTTTTAATACATTCTGAACGCAAATTTTTATTTCGATTATATAAAAATGTTCCATACTGTTTACAATATGGAATTATTTTATCTCAACCTATTATTGTTTGTCTGTTAATAATGTTTAACTAATATAATTATTATCTGAGAAGGTGAATTAGCCATAGTACCTTAATAACATGTATTTTTTTTTTCACCTGACATAAATTTACTTTTGTTTTATAGACTACCGTAGATACCAACCACAATAAGAAATGCCAGTCACAAAGTTCAATAAATCTTTCAAAACAGCATTTTATACAAGCATCATTCAGTGATATAGAACATTATTCTCCTCATTCAACGTATTATTTAAAAATGAAAAGTAAGAGTCAGAAGCCAGAAAAAGGTTCTTCGATGGATATGCTTTTTAAAGATTGCACTTTTAAACATAAAAATTATCTTGGGTAAGTGACATTTCTATTATATAACGTTAAAATAAGACACCAACATTTTTGTCATGTAGTGCAACAATACTCAGAAAACTGTTTTGTATTTGTTTTTAGTTATCGACATTATGCATGTCAAAAGTTGTGAAGTAATACTTTTTTCTTCTTATATTAAAAACTAACCTCAAGATTTTAAAATTAAATCAGGATTTATCCCACATTGAGGTAGATATAACAATTTTTGACTCTTAAAACCTGGTTGATTAATGACGTGAGAATAAGCCAGTTGAGCATTAAATTCTTCTTAAAAGTTTCTTCTTATAACAGTTAATACAAAAATATTAAGTAAAAGTCGAATAATTAAAAAAAGTAATTAAAAATATGTAGGATGAAATAAAAATCCTATTATAAGAGCAAATCTCAGAAAATTAATGATTTTTTGGTTCCTAATGAGAATTTTAATGAAATAGTGATATTAGTCTGAGTCCTAAGGTATTGTTTTATGAAATCAGTATTCTTATATATAGAACATTAAATAACAGAAATTTCATATCTTTCATAGTGTTATAAATGAACAAAAAAGATAAGGATGGTAGAAAAACGTTAAGTTTCTTATATCTTTTGAAAAATAAGCTTATTAATTACACCTTTAGTTTTGGCATAAGACCCAATAACTTAAAACTTTTTGGAAAGATAACTATCAATTTATCACCTTTTAAAAAAACAATTTGGATTATAGATGTCCTCCTTATTTTAACTAAGAAGAATCTTAGAAGCTTGATGCAGTGGTTCTTTATTTTCACTGCAAAAGTATATTTTACTATTTTGTTTTGTTATATTAAAGTGGATCATCACGAAATAAAACTACCTTAACTATGAATAGATCTTGGAGGATTCGCACTTTGATATTAAACAAATCTTCATCTCAAAGTTGTTAATCGCATTACCACGCAACATTTTGTAAAAAAATCAGTGGAAAATTAATATTCAACATGCATGTACGTGAAGACTATTGAACTTTGATCAATTATGTTCTGATGTCTCCCTAACTATACCTTAACTCTTATTACAAAACAAGGTATACAAAGAAGAAATCATAAGCTTCAGAAAGATGCACAGAAAAATATGACTTACCAGGTTATATAACTACATATTTAATCGAAAAGGTGCCCATGTTTGCGATCAGCAAGAATGAACTGTATGCCCTAAACAAGCAGATGCTTGACATATGCGCGCAGAATTGAAATGATGTGATAGACATCAAATATAGATAGTAATAGTTTTTTTGTTGATTGCTTTACTTTTTTTTATCTAATAAATTAGTGTAGGAATTGGAAAAAAAGTGTTACGTGTTTTATCAACAATAAACGGTTAAAATAAGAATTAACAGAAACAAAAGCCGGCAAAGTATTGATAATAAACATTTAATCAAGGAATGAACTATAGCAATAAAGAAAATAATTAATTTAATAAATAACTAAAGAATCAAGAGCAGGCTTGTTATAAAAAAAAAGCTTTTAAACTCATGGTTAACAAAAATTCTATAACTTTTTTAAAACTTTTTCCACTAACAAATTATTAAATAAATATATATCATTTACCTGCAAAGAGCTTATAAATTCTTACACATATTTCCAAGAGAAAACCATTTATGGCTGCAGTAGCTTACAAAGCTTTTGACTTTACTACGGATGCTAAAGCTATTTCGTATCTTAGCAGAACTTTTTTTTTTTTAACAACAAATTTCTTTTTCCACTTATACGATGAGCGGGATATTTAAATGGCATTTAAGTGAGGTAAGGGTTTTTTTAAGTATAAATTACGACTGTGTCGGAACGTAATAAGTAGGTTACTTTATCGACGTAAACACAGGTATTGTTATGAACCAGATCCAAACGCAGTCTGCTTAGGTAGTAACGTATGCATTATTTTGAGTGCCTCAAGCAAAGAAAAATTTTTTTACTCAGCGAAATTCTAAGCATCTTTTAAATAACCATTTTTCTTGAAATAACATTTAGATACAACAGAGTTTGCCTAAGTACACTATGACGTTCCGTAAAAAAATTATTAAAAAAATTGATTATTACTCAATTCTTGTATCGAAAAGTATATAGCCAAATTAGTGACAATATTAATTATATCCTTTTAAAGGATGATAATGACTCCAACAACAGCGAGTAGGACAAAATGCAATAGATACTGACACCAAAGGCTGTTTCTCTTAAAAACTGTAATTTATTCCACTGACGACGTTTCTCTACTCTTTGGGAAGGAGCATTTTTAAGTCCTAAGTATAAGTAATAATTATACAATGCGAGTAATTACAAAACGTATCACTAATATAGTCATCACATCTGAGTAAACAAATATTGTCAACATGTGAGGAATATGTAAAAAATATTTATAAAATAACAATATAGAAAACTTACAAATACGTTTTTCTGTTTGAAAAATCAATCACGTCTATACCCAACGAGGGCACTACGTCAGATGATCAACAATACATGAAGTTTGATAATACAGAGTATATAGCACGGAACAAGATATAGTCAAACATTACAAAGTATATGGGACGAAACAAAACACGCGAAAATATGTATTACAAAGAGCTTTATAGTTTGTTTAAGGAACGAAGCTATTACTTTATTTTAGTAGTAAATGGCTGTATCTTTTAAGAACTTTATTTAAATTATCACAGTCTAAAATTCTATTAATATTGTCTGTCTTTTCAATAAAAACTATTTCAGACAGTTATCTTTTATAATAGTTTCGTTTCTTATCGACAATTTTAATTTCATTTTCATTAAAAACAAAAGAGTGCCCTGTGTCAAGCTGGTGCTAGTATAAAACTGACTTCTCACGCTTGTGTTTTACATCACTTGCATGCTTATTTATTCTAATGCCAAGTCTTCTAAGAGTCTGGCCAATATAACAATCAGTAGATAAGCTATTGCGATTCCGGCCCAGGTGGGCTCGAGTCGCCAGGCGATTTCGGCCCACTCCCTCTCCACGGCGAGCGGCCCCTCTTTTCAGGTAGAGTGGTCCCTGCTGCAGCCAATGGGCGAGCAGGAGCTGTGGCTTTCTCGCATTCCTTAGGCGTGCGCTGCTTGAGGTTGCGTGCGCCAGCTGCAGTGCTGCTTGAGTTTGCGCGCGCTGTTTGAGTTTATGCGCAATGTACATTAGCGCCCGTAGCGCCGCGTGCGCCAGCTGGTGACGTGCAACGCAGTTTGAGTTTGCGTGCGATGCAGTGTGCGTAAGTCGTCTGCAGCGTTGATTTGCGCGCGCTGTTTGAATGTGCGAAACCGTGTGCAGCTTGTGCACGTGGTAGTTATATGCATACAAAACTTTTTTTGTGTTAGCGAGCGCGTTGCATGATACTGTAGGATGTGGAATGGTAGGGAAATAATTGTTAAACATTTTTTGGTTTATTTTTAAAATCAGTTTATATTAAATAAAAAAAGTACATGATTACAAAACGATTTTGTTAAACATGTTGTTCTTAAAATACAATGCATTCTTATAGCTCTACATTATTATTATCATCGTCATCATCATCATCAACCCATTCAATATTAAAGTGAAATTTTTTTATTCGCTTTACATTGTGAAGAGCACACATAGATTTGTAGGCTCCGTTGTGATGTACGCAAGTAGTAACCAATTTTGGAAGTTTGAACGGTGGATAGTCTGTCATATCAGTGACCTTAAAGCCAAATCTTTCAAGCCACTTTTTCTTTAAATTTCCAATGACATGTATCTTTGTAGCATTTTTAAGATTCTCCCGTAAAATATTTTCTATCTCTGTATACTCAATTTTTCCCGAGTTCCAGGTTAGTCTACGATAGCAAAGTTCAAGGTATAAATTTTCATGTTTATACATTTGAGGTAATTTTTACCAGCTGAAGGGTGCTTTAAAAGGAAATACTTGGGCTTCTGCATCGTTATTATTGAGCGAAAGCCAATTCTTTGAGCACATAATTATTACCTGGTTTCTTGAAACCTTGGATGTCCACAAAATACTCCATCTTTCGCAATCATGGTATTTAATTTTATTGCTTTTTCATTTTTTCGTAACCTTGATTTTTAGGACAAGATCCTTTGTTCGTTAAATATTTATCGATGAAGTTTTTCAGCCCAGATTTCTTATTTCTATCATCATCATCCTTAGTTGGGATTTTTTGATACTTAACATTAGTTGTAAAATTACTCGTACACGGTTTATGTGACATATTGATTAAACTTAAGCTTATAAAACATTATTATTTTCAGACAATTTAACAGTCTTTATCTTTTGATTTTTTCGCAGATTTTGTTTCATTAACTCTGATGTCTTTCTTTTCGTTTCTTTTCATAAATTTTTCCCATTTTTCTTGTCATCGTTTGTTTTCTGCTTCTTCTTTACTCCAGCTGTTGCTCCGACCTTTATCCATTGTGGTTGAAAATAAACTGATGCTAGCAAAGCCCTGAATCAACTTTATATCTACACAAGTTTCTTGATATCCCCACTCATTGGACTGTATTGAACTATACGGTCGTGCAAAATTAAGCAATAAGCTGACGTATTGGCAGAAAAATTTGTGTGCGACTCAAATTCTAGTCTCACATCTACTGGAGCATTTTTCAATAACTCGTTTCGTTTTGAACAATCGAGAATAATTAAAGGTATTCGATTGAGAAAGTGCTGTTTGCCCAGTGAAGGTGTACAATCTTTGCCATAGTATGAATTTTAAAAATTGGCATGCATATGATGTAGCAATGCATACTGGTTACGCGTTATATCAAGATTCAGATCACCATAAGGATAATATTGTGAATTTGAGTAGAGTTTCACATTTCTTATGTTGCAGTGATCAAACATACTGGCGCTTACATTTTTCTGATTTTTACGGTTAGTTTGAAAGGCTAAAATAACGTAACGTGGCTTTTCCAACTGATTTGATGTTTAAACTGTCCATATATGTTTGGATGTGCTAGGAAACAGGGGATACTCATATAATTCCCAAGTTCGAAAACTCATA